ATGGAATACTATACAGAAAGCAAGAGCAATGATTTTGTAAATCACTACCTAACTTGGGAGGAATTGGAAAGCATTATGCTGAGTGAAATAACTCAGTCCCATAAAGACAAATACAGTACAAAACCATTATTGCAGAATAAGTATGAGGATCCAAGGGGGCAGAAAGGGGGAAGCAGAGGGGTGAGGTTAGGGGGTTAACCATAGGGTCACACAGTTTGATGAGTGGGGTGTGTGTGAAGGAAATGGGAAAGATCTGGTGTGAAAAACAATGTGTTTTAACTTTGTAAATAAACCAGTATAAAATAAAAAAAGACAAGTTTTGGGGGAAACTAGAAAATTATAAAAAAATATCATTAATATCACATGCAAGCAAGATTCTGCTGAAAATATCCAAAAATGACTGGAACAGCTTTTCAACAGAGAATTGCCAGATGTGCAGTCTGAGTTTAGAAGAGGCTGTGGTACTAGGGATATTATAGCTAATGTTAGATAGATCTTGCCTGAGAGCTGAGAGTACCAGAGAAATGTCTATTTGTGTTTCACTTACTATGCAAAAAAGTTCGTTTGGATCACAACAAACTGTGGCTAACTCTGAGAAGAATGGAAATCCCAGAACGCTTGATTGTGCTTATTTGAAACCTATACTTGGATGAGGAAGGAGTTGTCAGAACAGAGCAGGGAAACACTACATGGTTCAAAATTGGGACGAGTGTATGCCAGGGATATGTCCTATCTCTAGACCTTTTGAATCTATATGCAGAACATATCATCCAGGAGGCTAGTCTCTATGAGGAAGAATGTGACATCAGGATTGGAAGAAGACCAATCAACAACCTGTTTTATGCAGATGACACAACCCTGCTTGTTGAAACTGAGGAGGACCTGAAGCCTTGCTGCAGAAGGTCAAGGACTACAGCCTTCAATATGGATTGAAGCTCAACATCAAGAAAACAAAGATTTTCACCACTGGGCCAATTGGCAGCAGCATGATAGATGGTAAAGAGCTTGAGATTGTTAAAAACTTCCGTTTGCTTGGCTCCACAATCAACACTTTTGCTACCAGCAGCCAGGAAATCAAAAGATAAATTGTATTGGGAAAGTCTGCTGTCAGGGACCTCTCCAGAGTTCTGAAGAGCAACAATGTCAGTCTGGAGACTAAGGTGTGCCTGATAGAGGTCATGGTCTTCACAATTACTTGCTAAGCATCAGAAAGCTGGACGATGACTGGGATGATAGAAGGAGAACTGATGTCTTCGAGCTGTGGTGCTAGAGAAGAGTACTGAGTACTCTGTGTACTCACAGTACCTACCATGGACCTCTAAGTAAACAAACAGATTCATTCTGGAGAGGGTGAAACCAGGCTACTTCTTAAAGGCAAGGATTCTGAAGCTTCATTTGACATACTGTGGGCATGTTGCAAGGAGGGACCAGTCCTTGGAGAGGGACGACATGCTTGGGAGGGTGGAGAGACAGCGCAGGAGAGGAAGACGCTGGATGAGATGGATTGACTCAGTGACTGGGGTAATGGGGGTAGTTGTGTCAGAGACAATAAGGTTGGCTCAAGACAGAGCAGGGTTCAGAGCCGTCGTGCAAAGGGTCACTATGAGTCACAAGCAACTCAACAGCACATAACAATAACAACAGCCAAAATGTACAAAACCATACTAGATGTTATCTTTGTGTGTAGATTCAGGACCCACTTTGGTGGTGGCAAGAGTATTAGTTTCAGCATGATTTATGATTCCTTGGATTATGTAAAGGAAAGTGAACCAAAGCACACTTGCCAGATGTGGCCTGAATGAGAAGAAAAAGGCCTTAGGGAAACACAAGGCAAGGCATGCGAGAACAGGATGAAGACTGTGGGGCCAGCAAAGACCAGCAAGACACCTTGTCTGATGTTTTTGTGCACATTTAAGCTAAACCATAGAAACAAAAAAAAAAGATTTTCAAAAAAAGCTATGGAAAAATATAACAGAACAAGAAATTACAGTTTTGCTGGGAAAGGAGTGAAGATGCTGGAGGGGGTGGGGGTGGGGTGTGTGTGTGGAGATAAGAGTTAGCAAAACCACATTCGTGAAAAGAAAGCATGAGAAGTCTTTGGACAGGCTCCTTCTAAGGCTTGTGACCTTCTGTTGTTACGTGCCATCGAGCTGCCTGTGACACATAGTGATCCTATGTACAATAGCTCTATCCTGGGCCAGTCTCACTGTTGCCAACACATCTACCCTCATTACTCCACTTACTACGTCAATCCATCTCATCTGGGATCTTCCTCTCCTGCGCTGTCTCCAACTTTCCAAGGAAGATGTCTTTCTCCAAGGACTGGTCCCTCCTGGCCATATGCCCAAATTATGTGAGATGGAGCTTCAAAATTCTTGCCTGAGCGCGCGCCGGCGTCGGCTGCTTCTCCGGGCATTTGAATTGCGCTTCCGCCATCCTTCTATCCCTCAGTCAGACGGGGCCCAGATACGCTTCTGGAAGAACCATCACGATGGCCGCCCAAGGAGAACCCCAAGTCCAGTTCAAACTCGTGTTGGTGGGTGATGGTGGTACTGGCAAAACGATGTTCGTGAAACGTCACCTGACTGGTGAATTCGAGAAGAAGTATGTAGCCACCTTG